ATGATAACCACTGCAGCCAAAAAGAGTGCCTGACAAGCCAAGTTGTCAGTAAGCTGTTAAGGCTCGTCTGTACACTGTGTTCGTGTTTTCCTCCGAAACAATAAGTTACGTTGGAGCAGCCTTTCAACGCCTCTCTCTGTCTCTCGCTAGCAAAGTTGACCCAGACAACAAAGTAAAGCTAGTTTTTGGCTACGAGCCCGACACGGAACCCGATGTATTGGCCAGAGGTCCCTTTACTACGGTTCGGAGCTGCGGACCTGTTTTATATACGTGCGGCATAGTTTTCTATGCGAGATCACTGCAAAAAGTACCTAATGTTGGGAACAAAAAAGGCCATTAACTTGCATGACTAATATTTGTTTAATGGTCACATTGGCATTCACTTTGATTTTCATAAAGACTTTTCTCAATCCAGAAATTAATTTTTAACCTTCTTCCTCTCAGCTCATCGTCTTCCTACAGTACCGCGACCATGCTGCACTAGCGTCACCCAACGCGATTTGAGCACTATGGTGATGGGACAAACGTATCGTGAGCAGGCTGCATCAGGTCGCTGTGTGAAGGCTATAATGTAAGTCAAAACATGTTGTCCTCCAGAAAAACATAAACACATACAATCTGTATGACCTTCTCTCTTTTATTTCCAGTTTCAACACAAAGGAAGGACAGCTTTGTGCTGATCCAAACGCTCAGTGGGTCAAGGATCGTAAGTCATAGAAATACAGACACACAGAAATACACAAAAAAAATATTTGCAGAGAAAATCTGAAGCTCTCCTTTCTCTTTCTTTTCTCTACAGTCATTGCCAAAATGATAAAGGTGAACCAGGGAAGCACCTGTCTGCTACATCAGTATTTTCACCATCTTTAAAGGCAAGATGGTGAACTCATTGGAGTTCTGGCTTTGTGTCTTTTTTCTTGCTCATATATGAATTTCTTGTTGTGTTTTTATGTGTTTACACAAAGTACATTTTGGCTTTAAAAAACTACATGAAAATAAACTTTTGTTTTATAGCACCAGTTTGTTCTTGTTTTTTGAATGCACACCAAATTCATAAAAATATCCTGATACATTCCCAGAATTAGATTCCCTTGGTGTTTTCAGTTGAGCTCAATAATCTAGTATTATGCACTTTTATTTGAGTTACGTTTGCCCCTTAGGGGTCCTGAGACGGATTGGCACGGGTTTAACAAACTGGTGGGACAATCCTTGGGGATATGCTTACGATAGCTAGGATGGTATCTGTGCTGTGTTCAGCAGCAATGCCAGGCTATCCGACACTTCTACTGGGGAAGTAGCACCAGCCCTAATGTAGCATAGCCAACTCCCATTTTGTAATGAAGGATAGATTGTACAGAGTGAGGCGTTACACTCCCACTGCAGAGAAACACACCCAGTTTTTGGAGCCTAAAGCCCACTGGGAATTAATCTTCCAGGCAGCTCATTATAACCTGATATCTGGTCACAGAGGATATGAGAAAACTCTGGATCGAGTTAAAGGTCAATTGTATTGGCCAGGCATTCCAGGAGATGGGTGTCAGAGGTGTGCATCCAGCCTGGATAGCAGTTAGTAAACCAAATGACCATTCCAAAGGGCCTTTGTGTCCTGTTTGAGTGTATTGGTATGGACCTCATTGGGCCTATTTACTGGCATGCACAGGGCTATTGTTTTGTTTTAGTAGATCATACACAATACACAAAATGAACCAATTAGAATGTAGAGATACTCAGTGACCATTCATCTGACCAATAAAGGAGGCACATTAAATCTAATTGGACTAGTATATACTATGCTGACATTGATGAGCTAGTGGAGCTGAAAAAGACCTTGAAGTCCATGATTCATAAATTAATTCAAGAGGGTCGATGCCACTGGGGTCGCTGGCTAGAACCTCTGTTATTTGCAGTGCAGGAGGTGACCCTGGCTTTCATGGGATTTTCTCCATTTGAACTCCTGTTTGTCAGGAAACCTCAGAAACATCATATGTTAAATCGATATTAAGATAGCGATTTGGGTTGGTATGTGGGACTGTAGACTTATATTTATAAAGTTAAATGCTAATTATATGATATGCGAGTAAAAGTAATGTAAGAAGCAGTGCAACAAATTACTTTCGCTTTCGAGTACTTAAGTAAATGTTTTTATTAATATGATACTTATAAATATACTTATTGAATTATTAAGTTTAATCTTCATTTAGAAGTCGTACTGGAGAGTTAGACACTCACACCATCAAATTAAGGAACATGTCTCTTACAAACCTATTTCCTACTAAATAAACAGGAAATATGCTTTTGTGGTTGTCTTATCTTTGGTTTGACTATTTCTACAAGTGTAGTTTAAACAGGAAGTAACATAAACTCAAATATGTATTACCATATCAGATAAAGAACGCAACCTAAGAAAAAAAGTGCATAAACGTTTGTGGGAACAAGCAAAATAAAAAGAAAGAGGAATGGCACAAAGCAAGTTTCACAATCATTAAACTGATTATGTTGAAAGACTTTCATGACGGGCTTTTTAAGGCAGGTATGTACACTAAACCTTCCTCTTGCTACAAGAAAAATGAGAAAATGGGAAAGACAGCAACACGACTTTAAACAACCTCTAATTATTCCAGTTATGAAGTAGTAATAGATGAGGTAATAACACAAAGTTTCACTTAATTACCAGTTAACAATATAAACCTAACTTAGCCTACAGTTCCGAACACCAGCACCAATCCCTACCCTGATGAGGACTCACATAGTATTGTTTGGATTTTAACTTATGAACACAAAGCTGAACACAAAAAGTTAAGTTACTTCTAGGAGTATGAACAGGTAAAACCTAAGGCTGCACAACTGCCTGTTCATCACTGCCTTTGTTACCTGCTGAAGATCAGCGGCTAGCATGCTCTCAACTTCTTGGCTAGCTTTGTGTTAGCATGTGGTCTGTGCAGATGTTTGCAAAGAGCCCAAGTTACGTTGGCAATTTAATGCAGTTCTTCTGTCCTGGATGCAGTTTGCACTTTTGAATGAATGAATATGAATATGAATGAATATGAATGAATGAATGAATGAATGAATGAATAATGAATGAATATGAATGAATGAATATTCTTTATTGTCATTGTCACAGGTACAATGAAATTGAAAGATGTCTCTGGTCAGTGCAACATCACAAAAGATACTTTTGTGCTTTTGTGCAATAAAAATAAAAGTAATCTCCATATCTGTATTCCTCAAAAGCTGTATCACTGTACTGCACCACCAAGTTCCTCCTCCCAAACACAAACTGAAATCAGATGATTGCAGCACAAGTAAACAGAAAGAAAAAAGCATTTTGTTTGCCGATAGCTGCATATAAATCAATATAATTGTAACCGCAAAATAATTACTGAATGTAGTCCATTAACGGGTTACATTGCAGCATTATTGAAAAAATGCAATTCAGTAATGCGGTGTAACATGTTATTTTATAAGCAACTAAAAGATTCCAGAAAGAATGTCATTTGGACAGATGAGACCAAAGTGGGGATTATTGGTGATAATACTCAACACCACATTTGGTGAAAACCAAATAAAAGTCAAAGTCAAAGTCAACTTTATTTGTCAATTCTGCCACATGTACAGGACATACAGAGAATAGAAATTTTGTTACTCTCAAACCCTAGATGAAATAGCAATGAACATTTAAATATAAGAGAGTGATTAAAAAATGCAAATAAAATAAATTAAAAAGTAAAAATGTAAATAAATACAATACAATTTAACAAGAAAGCTATGCAATATACAATATACAATATTCAGGTAAGGGTAAATGACATTGAGTGTAAACCAGGCAGAGTAGTGCAAATAGGCAAATAGTGCAAATGGAGATTTAGTAATATACGGTAAGAGATAGTATAACAACAAAGTCTTATGAGGTAATGGCAGTCCAATGCTCCACAAAGTGATACAAATACAGCATATAAGCACAAACTCCTCAACTGTCAATCACAGTGGAGGAGCGACTTGAGCTTGTAGCCACAGGACCAGGATCCCTTGCACTTATTGAATCAACCATGACCTCCTCTGTATACGGTCAAATGTGAGGCCATCTGTTTGACAGTTAATGTTTGCCTGAAATTTGATCATGCAACAGGGAAATGAACCCATACACCCAAAAACAGCCATGTCCACAAATTTAGGCAGAAATAAAAGAGCGCTGATGCACGAGGTGGGACGTTAGTAGTGCACATCCTGTGTCAAAAATTTTTGACTTTGCATGTGTGTGGGTTGGAAGATTAACACAGTCGACACAAATACTTTTCTGTCACACACTTCCTCCAGAGCAGAGTGTGAAAGTTACCTGATCATCTGCCAAAAGTACACCTAAATGAAATAAGCAATGAGAGGGTTTCACTACTTTGTAAATGGTAAATGGCCTGTATTTGTATAGCGCTTTACTTAGTCCCTAAGGTCCCCAAAGCGCTTTACACTACATTCAGTCCTCCACACATTCACACACACATTCACACACTGGTGATGGCAGCTACATTGTAGCCACAGCTGCCCTGGGGTGCACTGACAGAGGTCCTTTAGTTTTCAGTGAGACTTTAATGGCTTAAACAAAAGTTTAAGTTGTGGGGATTTATAGATGAAAAATAAGCAGCCAAACATTAACAAATCATGCAAATGTAAATAGATGTGCATCAGGATCGTTAAGAGGCATCATGACGCGCGATTATTTTTCACTTGAGGCCTGCAAGAGATAAACACTCACAGTTAGTTAAAATGGAAAAACAATAATCAACGTGTGATTTAGATCCATCATTTGTGACAATACATAAACTGTTTGTATCAATTATTTTGTACACTATATTTAAGTGTCTGCAAACTTTGTGTGTGCTTCTTTGGAAGCTGCGAGTCTGTTGGTGGTTTGAAACACTCAGATCTCCCTGATAAGAGGCGGAGGTCTGAGATGCCACACCATGCACCACAAGGACTTGTTAAAACACGTCATCAGTTGTGCCTGCATGTGTTCCTGCACTTACCAATAAATAACCAAACACGAATCAACTGATATAGTTTCAACCTGATCAGTGAGCCAGACCACCGGTGAAAATGTCTGTGAAGATCCTCTCCATCACTCTCCTCCTGCTCTCAATGTGTGTGTGCTTCAGCTACTCTGCAGGTAACTATGCTCTCACTTTCTAATGGAAAACAAAAAGAATAAAATACATAAAACTGATCACAGCATGACTTTTTCCAACAATGGCTTCTAGCTATTTGTGATGCTGGGGTACACGTCTAACTTTTTGGCGGTTTTATTGGGTATGACCGCTCTGTAAGGACTTGGTTGACTGGTTAAAATTAACAATAATTAAACTATATATATTTTATTTCCAGTGACATTAGAGAATTATGTTTTATGGGGTGTTGCATGCTCGGCATCATTTGCATCGCCCTTTTGACTGTCATAACTCAAACCTTACTATGGTGGCACAGTGTGCAGTGGTTTCTTTCAAGCTAAATCTGTAGCCAGATCTTGATGCTGTTTTCATGGGGGTTTTTCTGTGAGGGGTGTATACATTGTGACCCATTGGTTAAGTGTGATGGTGTGATCTACAAGCAGGAAATAGTGACACAGAGACACAGAGTATAACATGATATGTTGCAGCTATGGGATAATTCTGTTCAGCGTTCAGCTACCTGCACCTCTTAATTCTGTCTTGTATGATTAAACATTATTAATTTTCAGTATAATCCAGTTTTATTCATATAATATGACATCACAGCAGCAGTCACCTCAAGGTGCTTTAAATTGTGAAGTAAAGATACAATAATACAAATAAAATTATATGACTCCCCATGAGGAAGTAACAGTAAGGAAGTAACCTCCTGCAGAACCAGGGTCAGGGAGGGGCAACCATCTGTAGGGACCTATAGGGTTGAGGGGTAGAAGACAGTACTACAAACATACTGTGAAAGAGATCCAGAGATTTAAAAATGCGTCATTAAACAGAAATTGATGTTTAAACACATAATAAGTGAGACTCTGAAGAAACACTGAGTGCATCATGGGAAGCCACTAACAGCCTAGACTCTGGAAAGTCATGTTTTTCATATAATAACCGTTGCTAGCAAATTAAGCTTAATGTGTTTTCTCATTTTGATCCTCTGGAAAGGAATTTGGTGTGCTGTACTGGAGAATAAAAGCCAGAACAATCTGAGACTTCTGTGAAAAAGTGTTTATGGAAACTTTCTCAGTGATCCAGGAAACAAACACAAAGGAAACGATCACACACCCTCCATTATAGAAATAATAGAAATGTATATAAAGAGAGAGTATTGACAATATGTGATTCACAACCTCAGAACAATGTTCATGCACTGTTTTTATCAGAGACATTAGAAGACAGAAACATGGTTTATTAGTTTTCATATCCTTTTTTGCCTCTCTGTGACCTTCATTTTCTGTCGAAGTGTAAAAAAAAATGCTTACATTCACATAATTTCAGGTAACATTTGTCTTGTTTTGCGATGTAAGGAGTTTCATCACGTTTTAAACCTGGAGTTAACTTTTGAGTTTCTAATCAGACTTTCTCAGGTCAGATAAATTAGTTTTTAACCTCCTACCTCTCAGGTCCACCTGGTCCTGGAAGTAAACGCCCGTGCTGCGTTAATGTCACCGACATCGATATGAGCCCTGAGGTGGTGGGGGAAACATATCGTGAGCAGGCTGCAAAACCACCCTGTGTGAAGGCTATAATGTAAGTCAGCACACGTTGTCCTACATACAAACATATACAATCTCTATAATTTTCTGTCTTTTATTTCCAGTTTCAACACAGAATATGGACAACTTTGTGCTGATCCGAAAGCTCAGTGGGTCAAAGATCGTAAGTCGTGCTAAAAATAAACACACACAGAAATAAACAATAAAGTATTTACAGAGAAAAACTAAAACTACTGCTTGTCTGTTTTTCCTCTCTAGTCACTGCCAAAATGAGGAAGGAGTGAAGTCTGTCTGCTACATCAGTATTTTCAGCATTTCCATCACCTTTAAAGGCTTATTCAAACCAGAGCGCTTTCTCAGCCTGACTGTTTCAAAACATTTTTTTTGTAGATTAATTTTTACTGTGGAGTAAACCTGTATTTTATTCACGCTGTTGACTTCATTGTTTTTTAATTGATAATTGGGGTTCAGGTTGCTTTGTTTTTTTTTTTTTTTTTTTTTTTTGCTTATTTGTGGATCTCTTTCTTTGCATTGTGTGTTTATGTGAAGAACAATGTGGCTGTGAAAAATAATATAAAAATAAACGTTTAAGCAAATATTTTCCTGCTGTTGTTTCAGTGCCCACCAGACCCTCACAAAATGTCACACACATTGGCGAATGTATTCCACTAGTGCTTTAATTGCGGATGCTCACTGAGTAGACTGTCCAGGTTTTTAATAAACCTTTATCTTTTACCAAAGTTCATGCAGCTGACGAAAGAAAGAAGCAGAATTTTAGCAGATGATATATTACAGCAGTGAGCTTGAACTCTGTGTCAAAGATTCAAGTTGCAGTTATTTATATGTCCTATCACCTTAAATCTTCACTCAAAGACAAGTATCTTTGACAGTGTATATATAGATGTATCATATATAAGAGACAAATATTGTTCCTTTAATTTGTTGGCATTACTAGATTTGGCTCAATGCTTACATATATGTGTAAAAAGCAAATGTACGAGCTGTGATAACTGTGTCTGATAGAATGAAGAGTAGACTGATATATTAAATATTCCTTTATTGGGTGAGAAAATCAGACCATGTCATAACTGCTTTAAGTCATACTGAAAATCCAGATATGTGGAGGTATATGCAGCATGCGAACGCACAACCCTATCCATGAGGTGCAGGAAAAGGTACCTTGACTTTCTGCAATAAACACTTCTGGAACTTTGAACCAATGAGACCAGAGAAGACAGTTTTTAGCTATAATGCACAGCATCACATCTATTGAAACTAAACACAGCGGGTGAGCACAAATAGAGCACAGCAACCACAGGAACAGTATTTCAGGGTCAAATGTGAGGCCATCTGTCAGAAAGTTTATGCTTGGCCTGTTGGGTCATAAACGGGGAAATGAACCCAAGTACCCCAAACAGCCATGCCCTCATATTTAAGCCTAAATAAAAGAAATAGAACGTCTAATGCAGCTATGAGGGGGGAAATTAGCAATGCATACACAAACCATTTAACATGTGATGTATTTAGTCTGTGTTAGAAACTGTTGATCTTTGCAAGTGTGTGTTGGAAGATAAAGACAGTCGACATGATCACATTTCTGCCACACATTTCCTGCAGAGCAGAGTGTGAAACTTATCTGATCATCTGCCAAAAGTTAACATAAATAAAATAAACAGTAAAAGTGAGTTCTTTTGTGTTTCCAGGGGTAAAACAGCTTGATGCAAACAAGAAACAATTAAATTTAAATTACGAGCAGAAGTCGTGGGAATTTATAAGAAAAAATAAGCAGCATAAAAGTCAGCCAGTCATGCAAATGTTAATAGATGTACATATAGGCTGTTTAGGGAAACCATGAATCACTGAAGAACAGAAGTCAGTGGGTGATTTAGATTCATCACTCATTACAATGCACAAACCGTTGTTCTCAATCATCAGGCTCTATCATAATCATCACCATATTTGAGTGTCTTTGAACTTCGTGTATATGAGGCTGTTTCTCAGAAAGATCTCAGTGAGGTGTTGATAGGTTGAAATACTGAATTCTTCCTGATAAGAGGGGGAGGTGTGATATGCCACACCCAGCACACAAATACACAGACCTATAATCACACCTCATCAGTTGTGCCTGCATGTGTTCCTGCACTTACCAATAAATAGCCAAACACAAATCAACTCGTAGATTTTGACTCTGATCAGTGAGCCAGACCACCGGTGAAAATGACTGTGAAGATCCTCTCCATCACTCTCCTCCTGCTCTCGGTGTGTGTGTGCTGCCACTCCTCTGAAGGTAACTGTGCTCTTACTTTTCTACAGAAAAATGAGGGAAAAAAAGAGATAAAATAGATCATTTGATCGCAGCAATGACTATCTCCAACAATGGCTGCTGCCTGTTTGTGAATAAGGTTCACTTCTGACATTTTGGTGTTTTATTGGGCAGGACCACTGTGTAAAGACCACAAACCTTTACATCAGTCATATTCTGGTATCTGCTCAGTCTATAATTGTGACATTTTTTATCCAGCATTCACACTCGACTTCTACCCACCAAGCATTCCTGGAAGCTGTTTTCTGGGCTAAGTTTTGTTAGTCAGTCATGGCATTTTAAAGGCGTCCTTTACGTCGACATTTAGAAGAAGTCTTGGAGATTTCCTTTTTTTTTTAAGTACAACATTCACCTGACTTTTGTGTTCGATTGCTGGACTGACTGACAGCCACACCATATCCATTCCCGCTATACTGCTTACCATTAACAATGTTTGTACTATTTATGTTTTCTACTTTTGTTTTCTGTCACTTATGGGGTTATGTCTCACGCTGCGTTGCATGCCAGGCATATGTTGACACTTAAACTATCATAACTGCCAACTTATTAGTGTAGCACAGTTGGTGCAGTGGTTTCCTTCAAACAAATTCACTCTGTAACTACATCTCACTGCTTCATTTTAGTTTTTAGCAAAGTCATCATTTCAGTGGGTTTTTGGAGGGGTGCATACATTGTGACTCATTGCATAAGGCATGAAAGCAGAAAATGAGAGAGACACAGAGAGAGTATAAGATAATATCTTGCAGCTACGGGACAGTATTTTTCACCATTCAGTTATCAGCACATCTGAACTTTGAAATCTATGATTAAACATTTGATATATTAATCATTGTTAATAAATGGAGCTTAATGTTGGTTCCTATTCTCATCCCCTGTAAAAGAAATCAACATGCTTTGTTTGCAAATAATAACAAAAAAAGCAATTTAAGGCAGAATCAGTTTGGATTTGTTTGGTACAGCAGATTTCATCTTCAGAACATAAAGACAATGTTTCCCAACCGTTCATATTTCTATTTGATTCAATTTGGTTAAGAAAATAAATATAAGTAAAAATTCATCCTTGCAAAATTCCAGGAACCAGATTCCAGATGATATCTCCAAATGTTGGATCAAGTCTCGCCTCTGTTAAAATATATTTATGGAAACTTTCTGAGTGATCCTGATAACAGCACAAAGCAAACAGTGACGTACCGTCTGTTATTAACATAAGAACATTGAGAATATCTTCTCTATCATACCAAGACTGTCTCCACTCAGTTACATATTCGATATGTAAGACGTATGACTCCCCTTTGGTCACGGCGTGTGGATATTTCAATGTAATCCACCTTTCTCTATCATATCGAGACTATCTGTCCAGCTTCAGGCTGCTTGGAGACGCGTTCTGATCAAACCATCACTGATTTCATGTCTATGCAGCTATTTCATAGGTATGCTGTGGAGCATGGGCAGGCTAGCCGGAGTTTCTTTAAGAAATATCCACATGCTGCACAAATAGGAGTATGTAATATGCTTTTTTAATCAGAGACATTTCAAGACAGAAACATTCTTTAAAATCTGTGCAAGAGCCCTGCAACAGCTAAACTTAATTCTGGGCCAAAGTTGGATTGGTTTTCATTCATTTTTTCTTTGAATCCCAACGACTATAAAAATCAAAGTTAATTAACATAATGCCAAAACTGCCTAAAAAGTGCTTGAGGGTCCCCAAGTGATGAGAACATTGATTTGTTCCACTTACTTGTTGATTGATTTGGACAAAAAAATGCCTGTGCACTGTAACATAATTTCAGGTCACATATTAAAAGTCATCTTCTGTTTAGTGATATAAGACAAATCAGTTTTTAACCTTTTATCTCTCAGATACTCAAGTCCGTGGACCTGGAAGAATCCGCCCGTGCTGCGTTTGCGTCGACAAAGACAATATGACTGCTGAGGTGGTGGGAGAAACATATCGTGAGCAGGCTGCAAGAGGACACTGTGTGAAGGCTATAATGTAAGTCAGCACTTGTTGTCCTACATACAAACATATACAATCTCTATAATTTTCTGTCTTTTATTTCCAGTTTTAACACAAAAAAGGGACAACTTTGTGCTGATCCAAAAGCTCAGTGGGTCAAAGATCGTAAGTCGTGCTAAAAGAAACACACAGAAATAAATGCAAAGTATTTACAGAGAAAAACTGAAGCTGCTGCTTGTCTGTTTTTCCTCTCTAGTCACTGCCAAAAGCCACTCTGCAGGTAACTATGCTCTCACTTTCTAATGGAAAACAAAAAGAATAAAATACATAAAACTGATCACAGCATGACTTTTTCCAACAATGGCTTCTAGCTATTTGTGATGCTGGGGTACACGTCTAACTTTTTGGCGGTTTTATTGGGTATGACCGCTCTGTAAGGACTTGGTTGATTGGTTAAAATTAACAATAATTAAACTATATATATTTTATTTCCAGTGACATTAGAGAATTATGTTTTATGGGGTGTTGCATGCTCGGCATCATTTGCATCGCCCTTTTGACTGTCATAACTCAAACCTTACTATGGTGGCACAGTGTGCAGTGGTTTCTTTCAAGCTAAATCTGTAGCCAGATCTTGATGCAGTTTTCATGGGGGGTTTTTCTGTGAGGGGTGTATACATTGTGACCCATTGGTTAAGTGTGATGGTGTGATCTACAAGCAGGAAATAGTGACACAGAGACACAGAGTATAACATGATATGTTGCAGCTATGGGATAATTCTGTTCAGCGTTCAGCTACCTGCACCTCTTAATTCTGTCTTGTATGATTAAACATTATTAATTTTCAGTATAATCCAGTTTTATTCATATAATATGACATCACAGCAGCAGTCACCTCAAGGTGCTTTAAATTGTGAAGTAAAGATACAATAATACAGATAAAATTATATGACTCCCCATGAGGAAGTAACAGTAAGGAAGTAACCTCCTGCAGAACCAGGGTCAGGGAGGGGCAACCATCTGTAGGGACCTATAGGGTTGAGGGGTAGAAGACAGTACTACAAACATACTGTGAAAGAGATCCAGAGATTTAAAAATGCGTCATTAAACAGAAATTGATGTTTAAACACATAATAAGTGAGACTCTGAAGAAACACTGAGTGCATCATGGGAAGCCACTAACATGTCATGTTTTTCATATAATAACCGTTGCTAGCAAATTAAGCTTAATGTGTTTTCTCATTTTGATCCTCTGGAAAGGAATTTGGTGTGCTGTACTGGAGAATAAAAGCCAGAACAATCTGAGACTTCTGTTAAAAAGTGTTTATGGAAACTTTCTCAGTGATCCAGGAAACAAACACAAAGGAAACGATCACACACCCTCCATTATAGAAATAATAGAAATGTATATAAAGAGAGAGTATTGACAATATGTGATTCACAACCTCAGAACAATGTTCATGCACTGTTTTTATCAGAGACATTAGAAGACAGAAACATGGTTTATTAGTTTTCATATCCTTTTTTGCCTCTCTGTGAGCTTCATTTTCTGTCGAAGTGTAAAAAAAAATGCTTACATTCACATAATTTCAGGTAACATTTGTCTTGTTTTGCGATGTAAGGAGTTTCATCACGTTTTAAACCTGGAGTTAACTTTTGAGTTTCTAATCAGACTTTCTCAGGTCAGATAAATTAGTTTTTAACCTCCTACCTCTCAGGTCCACCTGGTCCTAGAAGTAAACGCCCGTGCTGCGTTGATGTCACCGACATCGATATGAGCCCTGAGGTGGTGGGGGAAACATATCGTGAGCAGGCTGCAAGAGGACGCTGTGTGAAGGCTATAATGTAAGTCAGCACACGTTGTCCTACATACAAACATATACAATCTCTATAATTTTCTGTCTTTTATTTCCAGTTTCAACACAGAATATGGACAACTTTGTGCTGATCCGAAAGCTCAGTGGGTCAAAGATCGTAAGTCGTGCTAAAAATAAACACACACAGAAATAAATAATAAAGTATTTACAGAGAAAAACTAAAACTACTGCTTGTCTGTTTTTCCTCTCTAGTCACTGCCAAAATGAGGAAGGAGTGAAGTCTGTCTGCTACATCAGTATTTTCAGCATTTCCATCACCTTTAAAGGCTTATTCAAACCAGAGCGCTTTCTCAGCCTGACTGTTTCAAAACATTTTTTTTGTAGATTAATTTTTACTGTGGAGTAAACCTGTATTTTATTCACGCTGTTGACTTCATTGTTTTTTAATTGATAATTGGGGTTCAGGTTGCTTTGTCTTTTTTTTTTTTTTTTTTTTGCTTATTTGTGGATCTCTTTCTTTGCATTGTGTGTTTATGTGAAGAACAATGTGGCTGTGAAAAATAATATAAAAATAAACTTTTAAGCAAATATTTTCCTGCTGTTGTTTCAGTGCCCACCAGACCCTCACAAAATGTCACACACATCGCTGAATGTATTCCACTAGTGCTTTAATTGAGGATGCTCACTGAGTAGACTGTCCAGGTTTTTAATAAACCTTTATCTTTTACCAAAGTTCATGCAGCTGACGAAAGAAAGAAGCAGAATTTTAGCAGATGATATATTACAGCAGTGAGCTTGAACTCTGTGTCAAAGATTCAAGTTGCAGTTATTTATATGTCCTATCACCTTAAATCTTCACTCAAAGACAAGTATCTTTGACAGTGTATATATAGATGTATCATATATAAGAGACAAATATTGTTCCTTTAATTTGTTGGCATTACTAAATTTGGCTCAATGCTTACATATATGTGTAAAAAGCAAATGTACGAGCTGTGATAACTGTGTCTGATAGAATGAAGAGTAGACTGATATATTAAATATTCCTTTATTGGGTGAGAAAATCAGACCATGTCATAACTGCTTTAAGTCATACTGAAAATCCAGATATGTGGAGGTATATGCAGCATGCGAACGCACAACCCTATCCATGAGGTGCAGGAAAAGGTACCTTGACTTTCTGCAATAAACACTTCTGGAACTTTGAACCAATGAGACCAGAGAAGACAGTTTTTAGCTATAATGCACAGCATCACATCTATTGAAACTAAACACAGCAGGTGAGCACAAATAGAGCACAGCAACCACAGGAACTGTATTTCAGGGTCAAATGTGAGGCCATCTGTCAGAAAGTTTATGCTTGGCCTGTTGGGTCATAAACGGGGAAATGAACCCAAGTACCCCAAACAGCCATGCCCTCATATTTAAGCCTAAATAAAAGAAATAGAACGTCTAATGCAGCTATGAGGGGGGAAATTAGCAATGCATACACAAACCATTTAACATGTGATGTATTTAGTCTGTGTTAGAAACTGTTGTTCTGTGTGTGTGTGTTGGAAGATAAAGACAGTCGACATGATCACATTTCTGCCACACATTTCCTGCAGAGCAGAGTGTGAAACTTATCTGATCATCTGCCAAAAGTCAACCTAAATAAAATAAACAGTAAAAGTGAGTTCTTTTGTGTTTCCAGGGGTAAAACAGCTTGATGCAAACAAGAAACAATTAAATTTAAATTACGAGCAAAAGTCGTGGGAATTTATAAGAAAAAATAAGCAGCATAAAAGTCAGCCAGTCATGCAAATGTTAATAGATGTACATATAGGCTGTTTAGGGAAACCATGAATCACTGAAGAACAGAAGTCAGTGGGTGATTTAGATTCATCACTCATTACAATGCACAAACCGTTGTTCTCAATCATCAGGCTCTATCATAATCATCACCATATTTGAGTGTCTTTGAACTTCGTGTATATGAGGCTGTTTCTCAGAAAGATCTCAGTGAGGTGTTGATAGGTTGAAATACTGAATTCTTCCTGATAAGAGGGGGAGGTGTGATATGCCACACCCAGCACACAAATACACAGACCTATAATCACACCTCATCAGTTGTGCCTGCATGTGTTCCTGCACTTACCAATAAATAGCCAAACACAAATCAACTCGTAGATTTTGACTCTGATCAGTGAGCCAGACCACCGGTGAAAATGACTGTGAAGATCCTCTCCATCACTCTCCTCCTGCTCTCGGTGTGTGTGTGCTGCCACTCCTCTGAAGGTAACTGTGCTCTTACTTTTCTACAGAAAAATGAGGGAAAAAAAGAGATAAAATAGATCATTTGATCGCAGCAATGACTATCTCCAACAATGGCTGCTGCCTGTTTGTGAATAAGGTTCACTTCTGACATTTTGGTGTTTTATTGGGCAGGACCACTGTGTAAAGACCACAAACCTTTACATCAGTCATATTCTGGTATCTGCTCAGTCTATAATTGTGACATTTTTTATCCAGCATTCACACTCGACTTCTACCCACCAAGCATTCCTGGAAGCTGTTTTCTGGGCTAAGTTTTGTTAGTCAGTCATGGCATTTTAAAAGGCGTCCTTTACGTCGACATTTAGAAGAAGTCTTGGAGATTTCCTTTTTTTTTAAGTACAACATTCACCTGACTTTTGTGTTCGATTGCTGGACTGACTGACAGCCACACCATATCCATTCCCGCTATACTGCTTACCATTAACAATGTTTGTACTATTTATGTTTTCTACTTTTGTTTTCTGTCACTTATGGGGTTATGTCTCACGCTGCGTTGCATGCCAGGCATATGTTGACACTTAAACTATCATAACTGCCAACTTATTAGTGTAGCACAGTTGGTGCAGTGGTTTCCTTCAAACAAATTCACTCTGTAACTACATCTCACTGCTTCATTTTAGTTTTTAGCAAAGTCATCATTTCAGTGGGTTTTTGGAGGGGTGCATACATTGTGACTCATTGCATAAGGCATGAAAGCAGAAAATGAGAGAGACACAGAGAGAGTATAAGATAATATCTTGCAGCTACGGGACAGTATTTTTCACCATTCAGTTATCAGCACATCTGAACTTTGAAATCTATGATTAAACATTTGATATATTAATCATTGTTAATAAATGGAGCTTAATGTTGGTTCCTATTCTCATCCCCTGTAAAAGAAATCAACATGCTTTGTTTGCAAATAATAACAAAAAAAGCAATTTAAGGCAGAATCAGTTTGGATTTGTTTGGTACAGCAGATTTCATCTTCAGAACATAAAGACAATGTTTCCCAACCGTTCATATTTCTATTTGATTCAATTTGGTTAAGAAAATAAATATAAGTAAAAATTCATCCTTGCAAAATTCCAGGAACCAGATTCCAGATGATATCTCCAAATGTTGGATCAAGTCTCGCCTCTGTTAAAATATATTTATGGAAACTTTCTGAGTGATCCTGATAACAGCACAAAGCAAAAGTGACGTACCGTCTGTTATTAACATAAGAACATTGAGAATATGTTCTCTATCATACCAAGACTGTCTCCACTCAGTTACATATTCGATATGTAAGACGTATGACTCCCCTTTGGTCACGGCGTGTGGATATTTCAATGTAATCCACCTTTCTCTATCATATCGAGACTATCTGTCCAGCTTCAGGCTGCTTGGAGACGCGTTCTGATCAAACCATCACTGATTTCATGTCTATGCAGCTATTTCATAGGTATGCTGTGGAGCATGGGCAGGCTAGCCGGAGTTTCTTTAAGAAATATCCACATGCTGCACAAATAGGAGTATGTAATATGCTTTTTTAATCAGAGACATTTCAAGACAGAAACATTCTTTAAAATCTGTGCAAGAGCCCTGCAACAGCTAAACTTAATTCTGGGCCAAAGTTGGATTGGTTTTCATTCATTTTTTCTTTGAATCCCAACGACTATAAAAATCAAAGTTAATTAACATAATGCCAAAACTGCCTAAAAAGTGCTTGAGGGTCCCCAAGTGATGAGAACATTGATTTGTTCCACTTACTTGTTGATTGATTTGGACAAAAAAATGCCTGTGCACTGTAACATAATTTCAGGTCACATATTAAAAGTCATCTTCTGTTTAGTGATATAAGACAAATCAGTTTTTAACCTTTTATCTCTCAGATACTCAAGTCCGTGGACCTGGAAGAATCCGCCCGTGCTGCGTTGGCGTCGACAAAGACAATATGACTGCTGAGGTGGTGGGAGAAACATATCGTGAGCAGGCTGCAAGAGGACACTGTGTGAAGGCTATAATGTAAGTCAGCACTTGTTGTCCTACATACAAACATATACAATCTCTATAATTTTCTGTCTTTTATTTCCAGTTTTAACACAAAAAAGGGACAACTTTGTGCTGATCCAAAAGCTCAGTGGGTCAAAGATCGTAAGTCATGCTAAAAGAAACACACAGAAATAAATGCAAAGTATTTACAGAGAAAAACTGAAGCTGCTGCTTGTCTGTTTTTCCTCTCTAGTCACTGCCAAAATGAGGAAGGTGTGAAGTCTGTCTGCTGCATCAGTATTTTCATCACCTTTGAAGGCTTATTCAAACCAGAGCGCTTTCTCAGCCTGACTGTTTTAAAACATTAATTGATCAGGTTTTATTTGTCTTTTGTTTTTTGTGGGTTTTTTTCTTATTTGTGAATCTCTTTCTGTGCATTATGTGTTTATGTGAAGCACAATGTGGCTGTGAAAAACAATACAAAAATAAACTTTTGTATTATTGAGCAAATATTTTCCTGCTGTTGTTTGAATCGCCTATTGCATTCCACTTGTGTTTCAACTAAGGATGCTCGCTGAGCAACACTGTCCAGGTTTTTTATAAAACTTTTACCCAAGTTCATGCGGCCCACGATGAACATAAGTGGGTCGGCCCAGTGAAAAATCTTATTATATGAAAAAAGCACAATGAAAAACTTCATCTCAGTTTGCCAGTATGTTAAAGAAATACTCCTTTAGTTAATCAATAAAATGTATCAGCACAATTCTCCAGACAGAAAAGTTTTGTTATTTCACAGAAAATATCTTATTTTTTTCTCTTTTTTTGTTCCTCTGGACCCATTGTGAAAAAGAAATTTCTATAGTAGTCTTTTCTTTAAATGTTTGTCTGCTTCTTAACTACTTTGATGTAGCATGAAAGGCCATGGGCAGGTCTGTGACAGAAGACCTGGAATTTTTGTTGTGCAGACTCTTCCTCTGGGACTCATGTTGAAGATCATGGGATCGAACATTTAAACTGAGGGGTGTTACAGCCCAAAGCTGCTGGGCCCCTTCCTTTGGTTAATCGTTTTTGTTATAATTAGCTTACGCAGCCCCCTCCTGGAGATGGCTGGACCTTCTCAGGCTGCCTTCCTAACCCAACTGCTCCAACCACAGCAGAGCTACTTATAAACTCACCTTTCTATCAGTTTCATTTTGTTTAACTGCATATT